CAGACAGAGGGACAGACAGAGGGACAGACAGGAGGACAGACAGGAGGACACACAGGAGGACAGACAGGAGGACAGACAGGAGGGACACACAGGAGGACAGACAGGAGGACAGACAGGAGGGACACACAGGAGGACAGACAGGAGGACAGACAGGAGGACAGACAGGAGGGACAGACAGGAGGGACGCACAGGAGGACAGACAGAGGGACAGACAGGAGGACAGACAGGAGGACAGACAGAGGGACAGACATGAGGACAGACAGGAGGACAGACAGGAGGACAGACAGGTACCTGTCTCACTGCTCAGCAGGTCCAGCTCACTCTGAGTCACAGACAGACTCTGTTCCAAATCGTCCACCTGTCTCTGGATCCTGTCCCTCTCAGCTGACAGGGACACAGACATGTCTGTGGACAACAAGAGACAGGTCAGAGGACAGACAGGTTCAGAGGACAGACAGGACAGAGGACAGACAGGTCAGAGGACAGACAGGACAGAGGACAGACAGAGTAATGTCTCCAGGGGGCCTCTTGTGTTTTGGTATATTTATGATGAAAAAAAGAAAAGTTTTAATGCATGACGTCACAACGAGGGGGACAGATGAGGACAGATGAGGACAGATGTGGACAGATGTGGACAGATGAGGACAGATGTGGACAAAGAGAGAAAGACAGAAATATTTTTAAATAAAAAAATTGGAACCAGTAGTTTTATATATTTTTTGGGAGATCAGAGACACTTTAAACTGCAGAACTGAACTTTAATAAACAAAGAAGTAAATAAATATTCAGAATAAATAAAAAAGCATATTTTATCGGTCTGTGTAGTTATACTACAGTACTTATACTACGGTACCTATACTAACACCAACACTCTGACAGCTCAGTACAGTTGTGACAGCAGTATTTTACAACATAATAATAATATTTTTGTGTTGTTTTACCTGCAGCTCGCGCCTCTTCACCTGTTTATCTCGGTGAACGTAGCTCTGACGTTGTCTTATTACCCAGCAGGCTGTTCGGCAGAAGGAACATTCCCGACTCGTTTTCAGGTTCGAACTCGGTTCGACGGCTCCAGAACCACCAGAACCGGATTTTACTCCTCAGTCCGGCTGCTCGACCTTGATTTTGTTTACAAACCGAAAAAAAGAAAGTGCGACCACCCGTCAGGGTTTCGTTCCTGCTCCGGGACTCGTTTCCGGTGGTGTGTGTTTGTGTTTTTTAACTAAACTTTATTGAAACAGTACACGAGCACAGCGGCGGGTCTGCATCATTTCAACGCCAGCGCATGTAATGGCGCGCAGTGTTGGTGGAGCTTGGCCGGATTTTTACAGTAAAAACGGCTCAAATACAAAAGGTTCTGCTCGGGCCCAACAAAACAGTGAGACTGAAACAGAACAGGGTTGTTTTTATGATAATTAATTGTCTTAAATAAAGTTTGATGACCATTTTTCCAGACATTGATTGGCAGCTGATTTTTTTTACTTCTGTTTAGATAATAAAAGGAGCGAACCCAGTGAGAGCAACATAATCAGCTGAAGTTTTTTAAGCTTCTGGTTTTGTTTAAATTTCTCATATAAATATTCTATTGTTGGTGCAGGACATCTTCATCTTATATAACATGTTTTTTATTAATTAAAAAACAATTTTGTTCAGTTAATGCATAAAATTCTGCTATTAATCTGGAATTAAATGTAATAGGTGCATTATTTACCTCATTTATTTGAAAATTTTTGTTGTTTTTTTTACAATTAATTTTGCGTATCATTGATTTTTGTTTCTATATAAATTTTGTCAACAAACAGGAACAAAAAAAATAAAAGTAGACATTTTTTGTTTGAGCTTTTATTTTGTAGTCAGACTTCACAGGAAGTATTCATCCTGTCATTAAAAATTCTCCCAAATATGTATTTTTATTGACACCACTGAGGTCTTCACAGGAAGTGGCGTGCTCATGTGTGCACGTTACTGGTAGGCCCATAAGGAACCTGACAGAAAGTAGGTTGTTTATTTTGTTTGTTTACAAATGATGAGGAGGAGGAGGAGGAGGAGGAGGAGGAGGAGGAGGAGGAACAAGCAGCGGGTGAGTTCATAAAATCCTCAGAGTTCAGAGATTTTAGTCTCATTCAGCAGCGACAGAACAACTGTCTCCAGAGACGCACACCTTCTGTTTGTCTCTGAGTCTCCTGCAGTGTTGGGACAGGATGTCTCAGAAAGACAGGCGTCCTTCTGCCTCTGTCAGCATGTCTCACTGTCTTTCAGTGTCTCTCAGCCTCTCTCCGTATGCTCTAGCGGTGGCGGTACAGGATGTCCCAGCTGGTCCTCCACTTCAGCGCCTGAAGCTGATTGGCCGATAGCTCCGGGGTGCCGTAGGTCAAAGGGCAGAACGTCCGATAGGACAGGAAGACAGACAGTAGAGCAGCCGCAGCGCACACGCAGAGCACACGTCGGTGTGTCACGTTGCTGCGGACACAAACACACACAGGTTGACGGTTTGAATCCCGGACGAGCCCCCAATAATACTTCTTCCTAACTGGCTTACATCTGTCTGCTGGCTGCAGGTGTGTGTCTGTGTGCGTACCTGAGCAGGTGAGTGTGCACATGCTCCAGAAGGGCGGGGCTTAACAGGTACAGGTAACACAGGGCGGGCAGGTAGTGGTACAGGAAAAGAGTTCTGTCCATCAGCAGGAAGGGAAGGAAGTTCACCAACCAGCCGCCGACACACACGCAGCCCAGGAGCACAAACTGCTGCCACACACCTAAACACACACACAGGGTCAGCACGGATCAGAACCACCTCTGACAGAACCTCAGGAGGCTGTTACCATCAGGGAGGTCTTTGAAGCCCCGCCTCCTCCTTAGTAGGTACACAGCTGCCAGCAGCTGATACGCCAGCAGGCAGAAGTTGGCCACGCACCATGACAGCGGGTTACCAATCAGGTGTATCTGAGCCTGGAGGAGTAGAGCCAATCAGAGAGCAGAACTGGACTGTGTGTGTGTGTGTGTGTGTGTGTGTGTGTGTGTGTTACATTTGTGGCAGCATGCAGCCAGTATGCGATGTTGGTTTCCATGGTGATCCACTCAAAGGGGGCGGAGCTGTATTTGTGCTCAGACACTTCCTGCTTCACCGTCAGCATCTTCCACTGCAGTGACATCACAGCATGACATCATCAGAGCTCTGAAATCTGATTGGTCGGTGAGCTGACGGTGCATTCACACTCCTACCTGCAGCTCCGTAAACTTCGCCCAGAAGGAGATTTTTCTGTTCACGTCGATGTGAGTCGGAGAATGAAGCTCCGCCTCACGCTCCTTCTGCTCCTGACCTGCAGGTGACGTCACAACGAGTGACTAACTTTAGCTTTGTTTTAGCACAGACAGACAGGAAGAGGAGGAGCAAACAGACTAGAAGAGGTGGAGCAGGAGTTCTGGGTCTTACTGGTTCCGTATCGGTGCTCCTCCACGGTCCAGCCCAAACTGCTGCTGTGAGACTTGAAGTGTTTTTCTGCTACAACCTCCAGCTGACGGAAACCCCACTCTGGAAGAGAAGCACCACTCAGCTGTGCGCATGCACACACACACACACACACACACACACACACACACACACACACACACACACACACACACACACACACACACACATATTAATACTCAGCATTCTGGTGAGGTCACTTCCTGTCAGGTCACTTCCTGTGTGCACCTTCAGAACAGCTGACGTGTTGACGTGAACCAGTCGGACTTCAGACAGGATCGTCTTCCACACGTCTGACTCCGCCTCCCTGCCTGGGATGTCCTGAACAAACAAACAAATAAACAGCCTGTTCAGTAAACACACGTGGATGCAGAAAGTACCTGATGCCCAGGTGAACTCACCACCCTCCACAGGTTCTGGGCCGGCATGGAGACGTTGAAGTCCAGGTATCCGGACACCTCCTGAGCGTGAGGACTCATGGGGGCTGCCACGTCGTGACTGAGAAGACATGACAGGTCAGGTGTCCCGTTTTCCTCGAACTCATCACAAAACATGACAGACCAGGTGAGACGTGTACCTGTTCAGCAAGCGTGAGGTCATCCCGTGAACCATCTGGATGACATCACCATGATGGACTGGTCGAGGGGGTGTGTCCACCATCAGCTCCTGTCTACAAACGAGACAAACAAGAACTCCAAGTCCCAGAAGGCCAAGGGACAAACAGGTAACCTACTATCAAACAGGTTATCTACTGTGAAACTGATGACCTACTGTCAAACAGGTGACCCACTGTAAAACAGGTGATCAACTGTAAAACAGGTGATCTACCTGTCCGGATGTTTGATGATCCACCAGTTGTTGACATCTTTGAAGGGGTAACAGGTGACCTGTTGCTGGTGTGAGCTGCCCCGCCGATCTTCATACCTGAAAACGAGAAACAGGAAGTCAACAAATACAGAGTCTCTGATTGGCTGATGGGTCAAAGTGAGCTAGCAGCACCTGATTGGATAGTTGGCTTTGTGAGAGTGAAGCCAGCATGGGACTGGCTGGGAGGCGGAGCTTCTTAAAGTCACCTGACTGCCATAAGCAACTTCCAGAGGCTGGCCTTGAGTGATCCTGGCGAGACCGCCCTAAAAATGATCAACCAACCAATTAATCACCAACCAACCAATCAATTCACCAACCAATCAATTAATCAATCAACCAATCTATCAACCAACCAACCAACCAACCAACCAATCAATTAACCAACCAACCAACCAACCAATTAATCAATCAACCAACCTATCAATCAACCAACCAATCAATCAATTAACCAACCAACCAATTATCCAACCAACCAACCAACCAACCAACCAACCAATCAACCAACCAACCAACGAATAAATTAACCAACCAATCAATCAATCAATCAATCAATCAATTAACCAACCAATCAATGACAGTTCAGCATCAAAGGAACCTCCTAAAGAACCTGTGGAACCACCTGTACCTGCAGACTGGCTTGGAAGGCGGAGCTCATCAGCTGGTCATGTGGTCCGCTGCGGTTCAGGAGACTCAGGTGAACGTAGAACCAGAACACGTAGAGCAGAACCGGAACCACTATCAGACACACAAATCTGCACACACACTGAACACACACACTCAGCTGCACACGCACACACAGAAAAGGTTCTGTCAGGAAGAACCGGGTCACAGAACCTTCCAGAAACTCACAGATCAACTCACATGACTGACAGCTCTGTCTCCAATCAGCTTCCAGGTGTGCACAGAGGCCACGCCCACCAGCAGCAGGTAGGAGAACACACCCATATACTTTACCCTGACAAGTTGAAAACATGTTAAAAACACATTTAAACAGGTTAAAAACACTTTTAAACAGGTTAAAACACTTTTAAACAGGTTAAAAACACTTTTAAACAGGTTAAAAACAAGTTGAAAACATTAAAAATGTTTAAAGGCACAGTGTGTAGGATTTGTTGTTTTCAGCGACATCTAGTGGTTGAATCATCCTCCCTGGTCCTCCCCCCACCCCCACCCCCCGCTTCCAAACACAAAGGAGTTGCTACGGTGTCTCTCAGGTGTCAAAAACCTTTGATAATTCCAACCGCGATGTCTACCAGCAGCTTCAGGGCTAGTGATGTTTCAAGTGGTAAGATTATGAGCTTTAATAAGTAAAATTATCCCAGCTACAATGACAGACAACAAATATTACATTTATAGTTTTACAACTAAAACTGTTATTGACACCGCCACCGCAGTTTGTCCTTCATGAGCCTTCGTAGACAAGATGGCGGTGCAAGATGGCGGCTGCCTGTGTGGCGACCCGCGACCATGGAGATATAAACAGCTTTTTATAAGGTAAAAATAATAAAACAAGGTCTTTGTCTGCAATGATTAGACATGTTTTTATTATTGTCATTAGTGATTATCTCAATTTCGGCTAAAAGAATTGACAAAATCCTCCACACTGCCTTTAAACATGTTAAAAACGTTTAAACATGTTAAAAATGTTTAAACATGTTAAAAACAAGTTGAAAACATGTTATAAACATGTTTGTGTTCCAGATAACGACAGATCAGTTCTCACCCAACAGCCGCCGCGCAGGAAACACCGGAGAGGAGGAGCCAACCATACCTGGACCAGGAGCTGAGGAGGAGGAGCTTCAGGTAAGAGCAGGTTCCTCACAGGTAGAGAGTGTGCAGGTGAGGCTCACACAGGTAACCAGTGTGCAGGTGAGGCTCACACACAGGTAACCAGTGTGCAGGTGAGGCTCACAGGTGAAACTTACCTGCTGGGGGCGTTGTAGAAGCGCAGGTAAGAGAAGAAAGCCAGCAGCATGAAGAAGATGAGAACGGACTCCAACAACATGAAACGTGACTGGACGATCAGAGCGTTCTCTGAAACGACAACAAACAGAGAAAGTTCAGACAAAAAAGTCCCACGCTTCTTTAGGTCCCTGAATGTCCCACAATTCTTTAGGTCCCTGAACGTCCCACGTTTCTATAGGTCCCTGAACGTCCCACGTTTCTATAGGTCCCTGAACGTCCCATGTTTCTAAAGGTCCCTAAACTTCCCACGCTCCTTTAGGTACTTGAACATCCCACAATTTTTTAGGTACCTGAACGTCCCAAGTTTCTTTAGGTCCCTGAACGTCCCATATTTTTATACGTCCCTAAATTTCCCAAGCATCTTTAGGTACCTGAACATCCCACAATTTTTTAGGTACCTGAACATCCCACAATTCTTTAGGTACCTGAACATCCCACAATTCTTTAGGTCCTTGAACGTCCCAAGTTTCTTTAGGTCCCTGAACGTCCCACGTCTCTTTAGGTCCCTGAACATCCCATGTTTTTATACGTCCCTAAACTTCCCACGCTTCTTTAGGTACATGAACATCCCACAAATCTTTATGTCCCTGAATGCCCCACAATTATTTAGGTCCCTGAATGTCTCATGTTTCCATAGGTCCCTAAACATCCCACGCTTCTTTAGGTACCTGAACATCCCACAATTCTTTAGGTCCCTGAACTTCCCAAGGGTCTTTAGGTCCCTGAACGTTCCACGTTTCTATAGGTCCCTGAACGTCCCATGTTTCTATAGTTCCATAAACTTCCCACACTTCTTTTGGTCCCTGAATGTCCCACGTTTCTTTTGGTCCCTGAACGTCCCACACTTCTTTAGGTCCCTGAACGTCCCATGTTTCTATAGGTCCATAAACTTCCCACACTTCTTTAGGTACCTGAACATCCCACAATTTTTTAGGTCCCTGAATGTCCCACATATCTTTAGGACCCTAAACTTCCCAAGCGTCTTTAGGTCCCTGAACACTCCGCTCATCTTTAGGTCGCTGAACATAACACATTTTTTTGAGTCCCTAAATGTCCCACGCTTCTTTGAGGCTCTGAACATCTCACACTTGTTTATGTCCTTGAATGTCCCATTCTTGTTGAGGTCCCTGAATGTTCCACTCTTCCTTTAGCCTGGCCCTTGCCTTCCTACGCAGCTTCGCTCAATTCTAGTTTCCCTTCACTGCTCCGTCTGGGACTTCTCCCATTGAAAAGGATTTCACTGGCAGATTTTTAGCCGGGCCAATCAGAGAACAGAAGGAGGAGCTTTGAACGATGTTGGCATTCTCCGCAGTGTCTGCTTGTAGTTTATTTTACCTGGGCCAATCAGCAAACAGAAGGAGGAGTTTTGAACGACATCAACATTCTCCGCAGTGTCTGCTAGTTATTTTAGCATATGGCAGTGGAGGAAGTGAATGAAGCCAGTCTGTGTTGATAAGGCTTCAAATTAAAATAAATTTGTCTGACAAAGCAGCAGCATCATTTACAGTCGTCTCATTCAGCTCGGTACTTCTCTCCTCTCAGTAGGGTTGTTTACAGCACACGCGATTTCCGGTTACCTTCTTAGCTTAGCCTCCATCACAGTGACAACACATACATGCTTCAGCAGAGGCCACGCCTCCTGCAAGAAACGATTGTCTATGCATCAAGTCCAGACCCTTGTACGAAGCAAAGTGAAGGACAGGCTCTGGTTTAAACCAGGCTACTCTTCCTAAGGTCCCTGAACATACCACACTTTTTTGAGTCTCTGAATGTCCCACGCTTGAAACAGACACAGACGTGTTTGTGTGAATGTGTGTGTCTGTGTGAATGTGTGTGTCTGTGTGAATGTGTGTGTTTGTGTGTGAATCCTCACCCAGCAGCAGCAGCAGCGCAGCTCCCAGTGCCGACAGGTGAGAAAACCTCAGCTCCAGTGTCAGCAGGTAAACCAGAGGAACACAGAGCGCTCCGCAGAGAGCCGGCAGCAGCCTCAGACTCCACACACTCACACCGCCGGGGTACTCTGTGTCACAAAACAAACACACACCAGCAGGTTCCCGGTTAAAAACAGAAACGGATCCGTTCTCCTTCAAACATGTGTGGAACTGGCTTCTGTTGGTACCTGATCCAATTCTGTTCCACACAAAGTTCCCATCAAAGCCCCCCAGGTACGCTGGAACAGGAAGAAGAGGATGGAATGAGATGTCTGACACAAACATAACTGTGCTAACACAAACAGCTACCACTGTAACAACCTCCAAGGGCCAGGATCATGTGACCGAGCGGGGGTCCGCTGTCATCAATAAAGAAGACCCTCTTCATGTAGAAAGACACAAACTGTCCGTAGTAGACCTCATCAAACCTGCACACAGGAAGAGCTTCTTAAATCGATCAAAAACACAATGGAGTTTGGTGCAGCTTACACACGTTATCAAACACACTCACACCACAGCATTCGGGTAGTTCAGGAGGTTCAGTCTGGTCCAGAGTGCCAACAGGGAGACCAGGACCAGAACCAGGTCCACCTGAGCTGTCACCACCAGGGGGAGCTGCAGCATTGCTGACACCTGCACAGGTAACAAAGTTATCAGGAGGTGGCGCCAACGTCATCAATCTTTTACAGTAACATAAAACAAAACGGAACACACTGCTGTGCCTGAACGCATCACACTGCCTGAGACAGCGTGAGGCGTTCAGGGACAGAAAAAAAACACGTAGTTTATTTACAGTAAACAAAAATACTATTTTATTTTTAACATTTTACTATCAAAACGAATAAAATAAAGATTTCAACGATTCCAACCTGGTTTATGAATAATCTATATCTTCTGTAGGCTGACCCGGTCCAGATCTGACCCGGATCAGTGTTGTGGTTTTTGAATTGGACCTGTAGGACTAGTTTTTCTCGGAGCTGCCTGGATCTGACTAATCTCTGGAACAAAAGCGGTCCAGCTCAGGCTTGTTGTTGTTTATTGTTGTTTATTTGTGTTCTGTACATGCAGTCCCATTAACAAAGGCGGTAAGGAGCGGTCCGGTTCGGTTCAGAATGAAATCAAAGTTTTTGCTTTTAGCATTAGCCTGTTAGCTTGCAGTTATCGCGAGAGTTCCTTCCGGTACCGGGTTCAGGTTCGGCAATGCGGTCCATTCTTTTGCAGGCTTTTGCACAGACCATCTCTCCGGTGATTTCCGGGTTCGGTTCTGGGATTCCCACAGGCCCGGTAAATCCGTTTGATTTGTTCTCGCTGTTTCGTTCGATCTGCGCTCCGATACGTGACTTCGGGTTGCTGTTGCCGAGGAAACAGAGCCGAAGTTACACGAACAGTTCCGAGTAGGTTGGAGCATGCGCAGATGGAGAACAGCGGTTGTATTTACTCCTGAAACTAACTCTGATTTTATTGCCAAAACAACAACACATCAATAATAATCTGGTTTAATAACATTTTACTAATAAAATATTTTATAAAACATTTCAAAATAAAACACAGGGTAAATACAAACTGTTGGAAACACTTCTTTGAGGTCTTTATTATTTTTATTTCTTATTTCACACAAACTAAAAACAGTTCTAAAAACAGTTTTTCTTTGTTTTTTTTATTTAAACTGATAAATACTGTATTTAATCAGAAATGAGTGTTTTTAAAAATTTAAAAGGTTGGATGCTCTTTTTTTTTTTCAGTTTTAGATTAATAGGTCTCCGTTTTAAACCGTTTCCCAAAGACAAATACAGATATAATTCAATTCTGATATCAGCATCTCATTTTTCACACAGTGATAAATAAACCAGGTATAAAGATTGCAAACATGAATATGTCTACAATTCAAAAAGAGAATAAAAAAATCTAAATATAAAAAAACATAAAAGCCTAAAGAAAACCTTCCTATGAAAGTGTTCAGAATCCACCAGAACTTTCTCGGACCTCCTCATTCTTTATTAGCTCTCCAATGTTTCAAAGGTTTCTCCCAGTTCAGCTGCATCATGTGACGTGACAAACTTTTATTAAAGAGACATTTCAGCTCTTTATCTGTGAGAATTTCAAAGTATTTTTGTTGGTTAGTCTTCTGCTGGGCTTATACTTCAGCCAGTAAACTTGTTTTAACAAAGTTATTTCATTGTTTCTGTCTGTGAGCTGTTTGTGTTTTAAAGGTTAATGGGGTGAGAGAGGAAGAGACCAGGTGAAACATATTGACGCTGGAACAGGAACCTATCTGAGAGGGAGAAGAGGAGGCCTCATGAACACCTGGCCAACCCATCTGGCTTTGAGCTGGGCTATCTTATGTTAGCATAATTTCAGCACCAGTCCAGTCCGGGACCACTTCACTTCAGGTTTGCATGGATTAATCCTATTTTTGCAGTTTGACTGCAGCCATCCCTTCCTGCTTCCTGATTGGCTGCTGTTTCACCACAGCTCATCTCTGATTGATTCGTGGAGTGTTCTTTGGGCGGATCTTGAGGGAGAGTTCCCACAGTGCCTCCTCTGCCAGGTGGTCACTGAAGTCATTGAAGAAGGATATGATGTCCTCGTCCGGCTGCAGAGAGTAATGCCTGCAGGAAAAAATATATGTATCTAGCACACAAAATTACTTCAAACAAATACTACAAACAGGGCTCCAGGTCACTCACACTTGTTGGTAGCTCCTCAGAGTGTCCAGAATGTTAAATTGCTGACAACACTTGGAGAAGTTAACCTTTGAACCCTGTGGTGTCGTCAATAAGTCAGGGTTGCCCAGGTGAACAAAGGTCAAGTCCTGAAGAATCAAACCCCTGAAGAAACAGACCAGTCAGAGAGGGAGAAACATAGGACATGATGCAACAGGTAGGGTTTCTGATGTACTGAGGTAAGTTATTTGTTAAGGTATTACCATATAAGAGGGGTTTGTGGCAGAATAATATCCCACAGCAAGCGTTTACAATTGGGTTTTGACCTAAAAGAAGGGCTTAAAGTTGGTTTGTGTCTTACCAGAAAGGTTCACATTTTGGTACTGACTTACAGGAAGGCTTCATCATTGGGTATTAAACTAGAGGAAGGGTTTAAGGTTGGGTATAGACCTACAAGAAGGGTCTACAATTGGATATTCACATATAGGAATGGTTTAAAGTCAGCTATAGGCCTATAAGAAGAGTGTAAAGTTTGTTATTGACCTACAGGTAGGGTTAACCATTGGGTATTGATCCAAAGGGTTTATGGGCAGGTATAGACCTACAAGAAAGGTTTACAATTGGGTATTGACCTACCAGGGCTTAAAGTTGGGTTATGTCTTACCAGAAGGGTTCATGGTTTGGTACTGACCTACATGAAAGCTTCATCATTGGGTATTAAATTAAAGGAAAGGTTTAAGGTTGGGTTTTGACCTAGTGGAAGGGTTTATGGGTGGGTATAGACCTACAAGGAGGGTCTGCATTTGAGTATTCACCTACAGGAATGGATTAAGGCGAGGTACTGACGTACAGGAAGGGCTTAAAGTTGGGTACTGACCTACCAGAAAGGTTTAAGGTGAAAATATTGACGTACAATAAAGGTTCACTGTTGGGTATTTATCTAAAGGAAGGGTTTAAGGTTGGGTTTTGACCTACTGGAAGGGTTTATGGGTGGGCATCGAACTACAAGAAGGGTCTACAATTGGGTATTCACCTACAGGAATGGTTTAAGGTGAGGTACTGACACAGAGGAAGGGCTTAAAGTTGGGTTGTGTCCCAAAAGAAGGGTTGATGGTTTGGTATTGACCTACAGGAAGGTTTCATCTTTGGGTGGTAAATCAAAGGAGGGGTTTAAGGCTGTGTTTTGACCTACAGGAAGGCTTCATCATTGGGTATTAATCTAAAGGAAAGGTTGAAGGTTGGGTATTCACCTACAGGAATGGTTTAAGGTGAGCTAGTGACAAGGGTTCAGGGTTTGGTACTGGCCTACAGGAAGGCTTCACCATTGGGTATTGATCTAAAGCTGTGGTGTCCAAAGTCGGTCCTCAAGGGTCGTGTCTTGCATGTTTTAGGTGCTGCCCTGGTTCACAACAGCTGAACCTAAGGAGTGCTTAATTAGTGGGCCTCTGCAGACCTTGATGGCAAACTGTGAAGGTAAATCATCTATTTGAATCAGCTGTGTTGAAGCAGAGACAAATCTAAAACTTGCAGGAGATCGGCCCTTGAGGATTGGAGTTGGACATGTCTGATCTAAAGGAAGGGTTTAGTAGCGGGTATAGACCTACAAGAAAGGTTTATACAAGAAAGGTTTAGAATTGGGTATTCGCCTACAGGAATAGTTTAAATTGAGCTAACGGACTATAAGAAGAGTGTATAGTTTGTTATTGACCTACAGGTAGGGTTTATAGTGGGGCATTAACCTACAGGTATGGTATACATGGTGGTTCCACCTCAGCCAGTGCCTCCCTGTAGGTTCTGAACGAAGATGAGCTGTCAATCAGTGAGCTGAAGTCCTCCAGTGTCTGTTAACAACAAAAAATTATTTTGTTACAATGTGATCAAAGAGTAAACTGAAATATACAAACCCACCTCAGAGGTGTTTCTCTGCCAATCAAGCCGTCGCAGTGGGGCAGAGTCTAGTGCTGACAGAATGGACAAGTAAGAGTTGAAGTTGTTCAGCTTCCTGAGATGCTGCAGGGACACAAATAAAGATTTGTGAGTGTGTGTCTGTGTGAATGCGTGTGTGACCTACACCTTATAGGACATTAAGGTGTAAGAACACAAACACAACAATCTGGTGAACAATCTGGCCAAAGCAAAATGTTTCTAAAAACTCACAAAGAAGGCCCAAACTACAAACGTGTCCCTGATCTCTAGAGAACAACATGGACAGAGTCTTTCCTGAGCAGAGGTTACCTTCACCTAGCCTCACACAACCAACCGTATGGAAAAGCAGATGTGGGAATAATATTAAGCAGCAACAAAACCTTCATCCTTTGAGAACCTGTGGACACATTGTCGTCATCATCATTACCTTCAAGATTTTCAGGAACTTCAGCAGCAGCCTCTCCCTGTCTTGCGGTTTGTCCTGAAGAATGATGACTGACCGAACCCTGAAATCAAACAGACACAGTAACGACTGAGTTTTACTGATGGAACCACAGGAAGAACCAAAGTATTACTCATGACAGGAACCATAGGGACCACAACAGGAACCTTATAGAACCACAGGAAGAACTTTATGGAACCACAGCAGGAACCTTATGGAACCACAGTAGGAACCTTATAGAACCACAGCAGGAACCTTTTGGAACCACAGCAGGAACCTTATGGAACCCCAGGAAGAACCTTATGGAACCACAGCAGGAACCTTATGGAACCCCAGGAAGAACCTTATGGAACCACAGCAGGAACCTTATGGAACCACAGCAGGAACCTTCTGGCCCTTTTCCACTAGTGCCACTTAGTGTAGTGTTGGTACGGTTGGGTACGGTTCCAAGCCATTTCCATTAGGCCAGATCCATGGAACCGGCACTTTTTTAGTACCTACTTCATTGTGGTTCCAACCGGCCCCAGCTGACACCATAAATGCGACGTCAGAACACTGTTCATCATTGATTGACAAAGTTTTTGCAAATGTTTAAAAGTTCAAAAGTTATTAATCAAATGTGTTTCCATCTTTCATTTTGCCCATAAATTTTTTTTTGTAAATACTTAAAAACCACCTCCACCAACCGCCCAAAACACACCTACTGGAACCGGACTGGAACATCAGTGGAAAACCAACCCGTACCGACCCATACTTACATGGACAATTCTGACACTACACCATGGAAAAGGGGCATTATAGAACCACAGAAAGAACCTTATGGAACCTAGGTAGGAACCTATGGAAGCTGTGTAGGAACCTCAGCACAGACATGTTGGAGGAAGACGTTTTACCAGAAGGAGACGTTGTTGAAGTGCTGAGTGAACTCGGTCAGGTGAGGACTCCTCTCCTCGTTCTGCTCTTTGGACCACAGCAGCACCTCTGGGAGCTACACAGGTCAGGTATGGACAGGTGAGACACGCAGGTGGAACAGAAACAGGTGGAATACGTGGAACTGGCAGGTTTTCGCACCTCAATCTTATAAAAAAGCTGCGAGTCCAGAAGAGTCAGCTGCTCTGCTAAGTCCTGACTTCTGAAGTCCAAGAGAGTTCCTGGTCTGTTGGACGAGACGACAGACAGGTGAGGAAAAACGGACCGACCTGAGTGAGTCGCATCAGCCAATCAGGTGAGAGGGGTTACCTGGCGGCCACGCCCTTGGCAGCGAGCGGGCAGAGGGACTGAGGAGAGCAGAGCAGTTTCCACCTCTTCTCCATCTTGGACAGGATGTTGGAGTGCAACAGGTGTGCTAGTCTCAGCTCTCCACCAACCAGGAGGCTGAACACCAGGTCCATCAGGTCCAACAGCAGACCTGAGTCCAGTTCCACTGTGCTGAATCAGAGAACACAGCTGGATCAGAACATCCGTCTCTCTGTGGGTTTGGATTTAAACTGGATTCTGACAGGTCTGATGGTCTCAGGTGAGTCTCACCTGAGGTCGTCCACCACTCTGACTAGCAGCTGAAAGGTATTTTCAGCTGCTGTCACATCTACAGGTTCTTGTCGTTCACAGAGGGTTTTGTATGTGTTGATGATTAAGGACTCAGAACAAACAAATCAGAGTGACAACAACTCACACTTTAAAAACACCTGGTGAAGTGAAACACAATCAGATCACCTGCGTGTTACGAGACCCTCATGTCCCCTCAGGTAAAACCTGAACATGTGAGGATATCTGTGCTGTAGTTTGCTGATGGTCTCACTGGGCCTGAAGAAGCTCCTGTAGGTGCAGAGGAAGGCCTCGCGGTATGGGTCCTGACCTGTGAACACAAACTCACCTGAGAAACTCAGAACTCATTTGATTGGTTGCTTCTGTTGTCATGAAACTAACCGCTGCTGCTGGGCCCTGTAGCGTAGACCAATAGGACGTCTGCAGATGCAGCCTTCACCTCTGGTCCCTCCTCCTCCTGAGAAGGCAGCAGCCAGAGTCAGAACACAGGTGAGGTTAATAATATGAGGTAGACAGGTGAGAGGGCGGGGCCATACCTCAGACTTCATGGTGATTCTTTGGAGGATCTCCCGCTGGTTGGTCAGCAGCAGCTCCTCCACTTCTACCTGCTCCCAACTGTTCCACTGGTCAAGCTCCGCCTCCTGCTGGGAACCCTGCCAACTGCAGCACAGAGGAACACCTGAGGAACAGGTGTGTGTACAGGTGTGTGTGTCTAAAGGTGTGTGCAGGTACAGGTGTGTGTACAGGTGTTTGTGTGTCTACAGGTGTTTGTGTGTCTACAGGTGTTTCTACAGGTGTGTACAGGTACAGTTGTGTGTGTCTACAGGTGTGTGTGTGTACAGGTGTGTGTGTGTGTGGCTACAGGTGTGTATACAAGTGTTTGTGTTTACAGGTGTGTTTACAGGCATGTGTGTGTGTCTACAAGTGTGTGTACAGGTGTGTGTGTGTGTGTGGCTACAGGTGTATGTACAGGTGTGTGTGTGTGGCTACAGGTGTGTATACAAGTGTTTGTGTTTACAGGTGTGTTTACAGGTATGTGCACAGGTGTGTGTGTGTGTGGCTACAGGTGTGTGTGTGTACAGCTGTTTGTGTTTACAGGTGTGTGTACAGATGTGTCTACAGGTGTGTATACAGGTGTGTGTACAGGCGTGTGTACAGGTGTTTTTGTGTAGAGGTGTGTGTACAGGTGTGTATACAGGTGTTTGTGTTTACAGGTGTGTGCACAGGTGTTTGTGTGTACAGGTGTGTTTACAGGTGTGAATACAGGTGTTTGTGTTTACAGGTGTGTGTACAGGTGTTTGTGTTTACAGGTGTGTCTACAGGTGTGTATGCAGGTGTTTGTGTGTACAGGTGTGTATACAGGTGTTTGTGTTTACAGGTGTGTCTACAGGTGTGTATGCAGGTGTTTGT